GTCACAGGATAGGACCGCTGCTTAATCCAGAGTGTCCAAGCTAATATCTGTAGTTTGGGGCCCCAGATCACCGAGATCATAGGCAGCAGAATGCGAGTGAAGCAAATCTAGGCGCTGGTGCAGGTCGCTGAGTGACTCCACCAAGTCCTCCTCAAAGGACTCCACACGCGAACGCAGTGAGCACACTTCGCTCGATAATCTATCCAGCTGTGAGCGCAATCTCGGGAACTCGGACGACAAAATATTCAGCTGCTCTACCGCTGTAGTGACGACGACCCAGAGCGCACTCAGCTTTTCAGCTTCCGTTCCATAACCGGTGGACATCTCAGCACGGGCCATCTACCGACAACTGAAGTTCGAGCTGTCACTTCAGATGCACGCAACCACACACCGCAACATGATTCTCCTGGCGCTTGCCTGCATGTCTCTGTCTCTATCCATCTACATATGCATTGCATCTCCCTCTCTTTCTCTCTCTATCTCTCTCTCTCTCTCTCTCTCTCTCTCTCTCTCTCTCTCTCAGCTACGTAATGACACAACACATGGATGGGATGTTTCTCTCCGAAATTGACACATCCAGGAATCAAGTGTAAACAGTTAACACCCCCTATCTAGGAACACAACGACCCAACTTCACCAGAAAGACAGCATGCCTCATGACACGGCTCACTGGACTTGCGGTGGGCTTGCATGCATATAGTGCATGTGAAACAGATATCTAGATACTTGACATCCCATGAAAAGACCAGAATGCTAATTCATTATGCACTTTTCTGATCAAGACAAAAGGGAACAAACGTAGCAACAGCACGCAACGGCATGCATATAGTATATAAGGCCTCCCTTGTGAGATCATGCTTGCCACTTGCACAGATTCCCGTGAAAGGACACTGACTTCAGCCCCCCCAGCAGACACGTTAGCTCAATGTCCTGCTGTCATACGCTCCGGGCAGAGCGCGTTGGCTGAAAGGGGGCTGCTTCAGCACAGCAAGACATGATCGGCCCCAGACCCGGCCAGAGTCTGTGCGGGGTGGCTTTAAAGAGCCCGTGCCATGCCTCCGCTAGGTCAGGCCAATATTGACGGCAGAGCAGAACATGCAAAGCCCCGTGAACGGTTCTCCCGAAAGCGCGCTCGCACACACCCCCCACACGCACAGATACCAGTACATCTGCACGCAAGTGCACCACCCTGCACCGCCTCCTTGAAACGAGCACATCCCCTTCGGGCGCCGACAGCAAGAGCCCGAAAACTCATGTCACAGCTGCACAGTCAAAAGAAGAGAACGCCCAAGTAATACAATTTCATGCCCGGAACTGAGAAATGTGAAGCACATCGTGGCAAGCAATACGGCTTATATCAAAAAGACCCTAGCAGGAAACGGCCTGCAGGTCGCTCCGACTCGGAAGCTCGCGAGGTCGCCAAGGGAAGTCCTGGCGGGGTGTCTTGCACACTACAGCAATGGTCGTTGGTGCGTACCCATAATATTGCGGAATATCTCCTTCAGGGCCAGGCGCCGGCACAACCGCAGGCCCCGGAGTCTCATCAGCCCCTCCTCCCAGAGAAATTCATTCTTGGCAGACCCTAAAAGAAAATACGAAGAATCGATCGTCACGCTCTGTGTGCCTTCACCTCGAAGATTCAACACGACCTCCTTGAAGTGTTTTTTCTGTTGCAAGCGATAATCAAGCCATGGCGGATGTAGATGAATGGCCCCGAGGACAGCCCCCAAACAGCTAGGCGGAGGACCATCCGGAATAGTACCTTTCAGTCCTGGAAAAAACGGCAGTGTGTCCATCTCATCCGGATTCACTACAGGCGGTCGGACTCCTTGCATGCGACATGATATCCAGGTACACATGATGTTTATACACACCTATAATCTCAGACCAGGTCCTGCTGCAACTGGTGCCGGTGCTGCTTCATCGGCAGCTGCTTCCAGTGAATTACCACTATTGTCACGCTCGAATTTCTTCTTCAGCAAGACATCTCCGCATGCGTCCTGGCGATGTGTACCATGTGCACACATGCATACACAAGTATATATGTACACAGATACATACATACATTCATACGTGCGTGCATCTATACGTAGATGAATGAACATACATGCATCTATACACACGTATACATGCATGCAGCTCGCTTCGAACCTGATGTCCTTCAAGCGTTGCATCCACTCTTTGCGAGCATTTTTGCTCTTCTTCGTCTCACGGATCACAGCCAGGGCCTCAAGAGGATCCATGCAGGACATATGGTTTTGAGTTTCGTGCTCGTTGCAGAAGCAACGCTAAAGGAACCTCAGCTGCCAGTGAGTTGCCATGGACTTCAGCAGGCCTGCTTGCACGTGCGCCAAATCTTCTTTGAGATTCTCTGCCTTGTCTTCGAAAAGACAATCGAGAAAAGGCTCAAATGAGAACAGACATGAACCCACGCAGTCATCTCTGTCGAAGCAGCCACGGCTCGTAAAGAGAAGCCAGGCATCCCTGGATATTTTCGACAGAGAGCATCTGTCCAAAGCACGTGGCCACTTTCAAAAGCCTCAGTTTGGGTAATCGAAAACTTGGACCGCCATATCGTACATATGTTTAGGATAGACACGACTTGATCACCTTCTCATTCGCACAGAGGATTTTATTCCGTGACTCCGCATCCATCGAATCCAGATAGTCGTGCCGCAGCTCGTCGGCAAGCTCGATATCCAGAAAACTCTCCTGCAGAGCCCCACGGTATATGACTACACGACAGTAGCGTGACCACATCTGTAGCGAGTATGAACACTGTCCTGCGGAGTCGGGCAGTCCGACGCCCACGCGTCCACAAGCTCACGCTCATGCAGCGAGGAAGCAAAGCCATTGCTTTTCGCCCGCACCATGGCCCGTCACAGCCACATGACTATACCACGTACCAGCACTACGGCAGCGGAGACAGACCGCAGCACTTTTGAAATCAATTCACGTGCACTCCACAGCTGCACCGCGGAGCTAGGTCTGCATGCATGGTGCAAGATTCGCAGGCATTGCCAAGCTGCACACACGCACAGCACATATCGGAGACATAACCCTCTTATAATTGGCAGGGAGATTTTGTTTCAAACCGCCTATACCGAACTTCTTCTTACTGGATTTGCCGTCGCCATCCTGTTGTGTTAACAGAAGCATCAGAAACAGAAGCATCAGACACGCAAACCACAGGCAAACCCCAGGAAAACCCAAGTTACCAACCAAAAAAAAAGATTCAATGCATCATTTCTATATTTTCCGATCCATAAGTGCACTTTCTACATATGAAAGCACAGTTTGCCCCGCTAAGGACACTTTTCCCAAAGAGCAAAATCCGCATAACGCTGTTTTTCGGCCAAAGGACAAAATCGCCCCAAAGCACTGTTTTTTCCAAAGGACAGGCCCGCAGGT